GTGATGCTAAAAAAGCACATGATCATTTTTCCTTGTAGATTCCACAAACCTCGCCAAAGGCACGGCGAGGTTGCCCCTCAGCTGGCTTGGCTGTTCCTCCACGGGGCTCCTGTGCTTATCCGGCTCCTGAACTGGGGGCGAGGCCAGACGACCTGCCTTCTTGAAAGCGTCCCTTCTTAGGCAACTGGTCCCGGAGGGTAGATTTTCTTGCTTGCTTTGTTCATTGTATGGAATACACCCCTCCGGTCCTAGGCAGTCCATGGTGCTCATTGGGCGAATGACTCTCCTGAACCCCCAGGTGTCGAGACCTAAGCCTGGTGCTAGCTATCGAGAACTTACACATCTAGAAGAGATGAACATATTGGCCAGTACTCTGGAGAGCCAAGCTTCGCCTAACCTCAGCCGTATGTTCTGAGAAACGCGGCCTTAAGCCACGTCATGGTGGTGCGAATGCCGTCCGGCGCGCTCACGCAAAGCCGGAAGGTGTGACCTACACTGTCGGGGCACCTGTGGGATCCACCATCTCTGTGTGCTCTGTTACTGGCCAGAGCACCTCTCTGTGGTACTGTAGGCAGGGCTCACGGAGGAATTGACGAGGAAAGTTTTGGGAGACCCACAGTAGGTGTCTCTCGGGAGACGGATGGAGGTGGGGAGCTTGAGCAGGAGGGGGAGAGTCAGATACTCGCTGCGCTGGGTGCTGGGGCGGGGGTGGGGGTGGCAGTGGCGGGGGGGCGGCCAGGAGCCGTGGCAGCCGCGGAGCTGAGTCTTCATTCCTGCTCTGCCTGGCGTGTGTTCAGAGGGCAGGATGGATGGGAACACGTGAGGTGTGGGGTGCAGGGGCTCCCCAAAGGGACTTCCCAAGGAGGTGCTGCGGAGGCGGCGGGGAGGATGGGCATGAAGATGACGGGCGGCAGGGCCACAGCGGGCAGTGGTGGCCGTGGGACTGTGCGCACGTGGGGACCGACTGGATGTGGGACAAGGGGAGAGAAGGGATCGCGGTGGCCTATGGCGGTGGCAGCGCTCTGTGCCCGCGGCTGCTGGTGTAGCCGTAGAGGCAGTGGGGGAGGCGTGGTGAGAGGCTGTGGGGGCTCGTCTCATAATACTGACTTAGGAAACTGAGAACCACTGGGAAGAAAGGTCCAGAAAGCCCCTGGGCATTCTGGGGGCTCCAGACAAGTCAGCATCATGCACATTTATACGAATACCCATGCCTCGACCGGCCAAGAGCCCAGTCAGGTGTTGGTGGCTCAGAGCACTCAGAGAAAGGATACCGCTTAGGGGAAGAAACGCAGGACAGAGTGCTGGGGAGTCAGGCCCTCGGGAGCCGGACGATGCCCGGGACAGGACAGGATGCCAGGCAGAGCTTCTCACGCTCCTCAGGCTCAGGGCCTCTGCACCCTTCCTCCGCTCCTTCCCCGCCTAGCCTCAGAAACTGGAAATCTCACTCCCCGTTTGTGCATGTCCTGTGGTTCCACAGTGTAACTGTTCACTATTTGTCTTCCACCGCTGACTGCTTTTCTGCACCCGGTGCCCTTGAGCTCCTCCATTGGCTGTAAGCGGTCGCTCTTTCTCTTTCCTCACTTGCATGTTATTGACCCAGTCTCCCGTCAGCGAGCTCTGAGGTTGCTCCCATGTCTTGGTGATGGCCATGTCCTGGTGATGGCCATGTCCTGGTGATGATGTCAGGCTGCAGTAAGCACAGCAGGGCACATCATTGATGGAGACGACGGTCTCCTTGGGATACACGCCCGAGAGTGGGGTCGCTAGCCCACATCATTTCCACATTCAGTTTTTT